TGCTGTAAGGGGAGGAGTGCTGACCATCTGAATGGAGAAGGATGCAGTTAGGTGAGCGAGTTTCCTTCTGGGGAGGCAACAAATCTGAAGCTTACTTTAAGTTTCTCTATGGGTGCGTGACCATATGGTGTTTGACCCTCTGTGTTGGGGGGGCATCCAGAAGGTGTCAACTCAGCGTGCTGCTGCTCTTACAGCCGCGATAACAACAAGAATTAGAGGGTAATCTCGGCAGCCATGCTGATCACCCACGGAGGGCAGGGGCCAGGGGCCTCCTTCCCCCAAACCCTACCCCTGAAACATCACATGAGCTGAGCAGTAACTAATTGCAGCGTTTATAGCGCCATTAACCTTTAATCACGGAGTCCATTAGTGGGCTAAAAGCATTTAAAGACCAACAGAAATCCCCACCAAACCCCATCGCAGCGTCCCACGCGATTGCGTTTTGCCACCCCTCAGGACTGCAGGCTGATGGCAGAAACCCCACACACACCCAAGGATGCCCAGGGGAAAGGATGCTGCATCCGAAGCTTGTTCCTCGAGAGCATCTCTCTCTCGACAGCTGCCCTCTGCACCGGGGGAGGACTTTCAGTGCTGAGTGAAACACAGCTTTAAAGGGCAGCTTATCCGTCAGCCTTGTGGGAGCCACTGAGGGGAAAACTGACAACCTCAGTGTTTGCCTCTTTGCATGGGTGCAAAGCTGGCGCGGATTCTGTAAGCCATGAGGTTATAGTTAAAGTGCATTATGCCAGACCCATGCCAGTGCTAACAAACCGTTTAATGAGAAAGCATTAGGCAAGAGAACTTTCTAACAATAAGCATCTTCCTACACTTGGCACGTTAGGGCGCTTAATCACCCCTCTGTATGGTTTTTGGTGTAATATGTACAGTAATAACTGGTGAGCCGCTTGGCATTTGTATAGCATCAAACAGCAGCCTACTTAGCCGGTGCATCTAAATAATTATATATAAGGAATACTTGTGGAAATTAACCCCTCCATCTTACAGCAATAACCATGGCAATCTGTGTGGAGATAGCAGCTATTACTGCCCACGTACAGGTTGGTTTTGTTTCCCTATCTAACCCTGAGGTAAACAGAGTACCTGGCACAGGATATGAAGTGTTTTCTTTACTACTTACTGCTTTTCAGTGGGTTCAGCTAATGCGGTTGCATTGGCTGGTTACTCCTGCTAAACTGCAGAATTGCCCAGGAGGGAACCATTTCAGAACCGCTTGAGAGCAAGCCAGAAGCATAACGCCTGCGTACGTAGAACGCATTTTAAAGGCAAAAGTTAAAGCTCGGTGGAAATCGACAGTGATCTGCCTCTCCTAAGGTAAAGGTCACAGCTTTCCTTTACCAGATAATTCCAAGGTGAGAAACTCCTCAAGATGAGGAGAGGGGGGAAAAGTAGATCAGGAATACAAAATAAACCCCGTGTGGCTCTATTTCTAAATACATTGAGAAGGAGGTACCAGGTTTAACCTATTGAGAAGGAGGTACCAGACTCCTGGGCTTGCCCTCCAGGGTCTGTGGTACTTGGTCATCCAGACCTATTTTAAGCTCCTTTGCTGTATTTTCAATAGAGGTTTTATAGAGAAGTGTTTCGTATTCAAAGTCCACGTCTGGCCTAAGCGTACCTGTGCTCTGCTGGAACCTGCTTGTGCTTCAGCTCTTACACGTGGCAAGGTGGAGCTGATCTGAAATACAGTTGAAATCTGGCTGTAAGCACAGTCAGACTCTCACCAAGACAGACACTTGGTAGTTTCCAAGGTGGTTTATGTTCTCTTTTGACCTTAAACTAGAGTGTGCCCCTGTATCTACGTAGCCACTGGAAGAAGGCTGAGGTAGCACGCAATGGCTCCTGTGTGTTTTGTTTATCTACCACAGCAGTATAATCCTCCTTTCAGCCACACACTCAGCAGTTAAGGCACAATCTGTCCTACTTCAGGTATAAGTAAGCCTTCGAGTGTTACTTGGGGAGATTATATTAGGACAAGAGGGGCTCCTTTGAAGACAGGGCTCCCGCACAGTGGGGTTTGCAGAGCCAGCGTTGGCCCTTGTGCTCCTGCAGGTGTTAGAATGAGGGGGAAGTCATGGATGTCCGGATGGTCCGTACAGAGAGCAGTGGTGGCTTTAACTGCTGAGATACTCAATTGGCCTTTTTCACTCGGAAGAAAGTAGCACACAAAGGGCAACCTCTCTCTGTCTTTAAACCAGTGTACAAGTCTGTGCAGGCAATTGTGACCATTAAAGTTACTGAAATACTTGGAACCAGAGTTTCAGCAGTGTTTTGTTCAGTAGTACTCGGTGCTAGGAGTACTCACATAGTGCTTGGGTGACGTGGGGTTAGGTCCCTGGTCCTCTGCACACTTCATGCTTGACTGGGGGTAAGCCGTTAACAGAATAAGCTCTCTCCCAGTCTTTAGTTCCAGCTGCAGAGCCATACACTTTCTGTGGTATGGAATACCCCTTTGGCTAGTTTGGGTCAGGTGTCCTGTCTCTGCTTCCTCCTGTGCCCCTCCTCACTGGCAGCATGAGAGTGAAAAGTCCTTGGTTGGAGTAAACATTACTGAGCAGCAACTAAAAACATCGGTGTTATCAGCACTGTTCGCAGGCTGAAAGTCAAAACCACAGCAAGGCACCAGCTACTGAGAAGGAGAAAAATGACTGCTACTGGTGAACCCAGGGCAATGGTGAACAAGAAGATCCTCAAATTCCAGCTGTGTTCTTCAGAAAAGATGCTGACGGTGACTTGCGACAAGTGCTGCATGGTGCAGTCAGCATGCGGTACCACACAAGGCAGCAGCCTTGCCTCTGTGGGCTCAAGCATCAGGGGTGACAGTAGAGAGGAATGGAGAAAGGAATAAGCAGCACCAATACCTGGTTAACTTTGGTGCTTTGTCCTGTAGTTGTCTTCTAGCATGAATACATCCTCTGTGTTCTCTACAAAGGAAGGGAGGTTGTTCCCATTAGCCTGGTGGGAAGCTGCTTGGGTAAGTAATGTGCGATCTGCTTGTCAGGGTCACTCCTAGTTGGCTTCTTTCAATGAACGTCTGTCTTCAACTCTTTTTTTGCATACGCTTTACCCCTCTCTTTGTAAATGTCACAGCAGGAGCCCAGCTTTATCTTACAGGTGTTGGGTTTGCACAGTATCAGGATCTGAGAGACTTGGCTTTGTTCTTGGGGTGAGTGAGGAGGGTTTTGGAGGTCAGACACATTGCTGGGGGCTCTGTGTGCACACATGTAGAAACAGAGGTGCAGAACACAGGTTTACCTATGCGGACAGACCTGCATTCCCAGCTCTGGTTCTGCATTACGGCAGCCCCACATTTAGAAACACGCTCATGGTCTCGGCAAAAAAAGGGAGCGGGGGACAATGATGGGACAATCAAAACCACCCCGAACAAACACAACCCAACACCTCACAGCTCCCCGAGCTGAGGGTGCTGAGTCAGTTCCCATGGCAGGCAGCAGTGCTGTGGTCATCCTTTGCTCCTATGTTCTGCTGTGCCTGGGTGCTTGGAGGAGCCTTGGGGTAGTGCAGGAAGCTGTGGGCACATTTAAGCCTTTGGGGCTGGGGGAAGCAGCAGGATGGGAGCACTGAGGCCTGATGCAGTCTAAAAACTCCTCTGCATTTGCACATTTCCCTTTTTAACTGGAAATTAATGAAGTTAAACAGTTGAAACAGGGTGGGGAGTGGTTGGCTTTGTACCGAATACAAGCTTATGGCCTCAGATGCTCTGGGCACAGCCTGACTCTGCACAGGGTGAGGTTGCTGCCAGGCACTGCTATGAGGAAAGGGAAGAAGAAGCTCCAATCTGTCAGAGAAAAAGACCTCTTCTTAGCTCAGCTTGTCAAGAAACAACACATTTTTCACTCGTTTGACTGTTCCATGCTGAATTCAGTCATTAGTTTGTAAACTTCTGTCACTGTTTGAGGCAAACATCATAAATACTTTTTTTGAGGCCAAACCCAACCTTTTCTCCACTGCAGTTTCCCATGGGAGTTTCCGTGGGACCCTGACCCTAAGGTTGTGGGCAGGTGATTGCTTTTACGTGTGATAAGGCAGCTCTTTGGCAAACATGCATTGCCTTGTGCTTCCTTTGGCATGCCTGGGCTGGAGGGGATCTGTTGGTGGATGCAGGCTCCCTGGCTCCAGGGCAGCTGGGGCTGAGGGCACTGATGTGTAAATCTGTGCACGCTTGTGGAGGCTTTGGGCACTGATATTTTCCTGGCCTGAGTAGTAGAAAGGGAGGAAAGGAGAAAGGAAAAGCTGCTTTCCTTTCATCAAATAATTGGCAATGACAGTAATATTGGGCAGTGGGGTTTGGTTTTTCTCTCCTGAGTCTTGCTCATGCCTGTGCCGAGCTATCCTGTCCTGACCCTGGGGTAGCTCTGGGTGTAGCAGCCTGCGACATGCTGTGAATGGCAGGGTTGGAATGTGCCTTACCCTTGTTACTGCTTAAGGCTTGTTGGGTGGGCTGGGCTCGGTTAGTTTGGTGGGTTTTGCTTTTCAAAGGTGTGAGAAACAAAGCACAACCGGCCTTTTGTCCTTCCTTAGTTTGTATTGCTGCTTTGGGCCACAAGCTGTCAACACCTCCTTGTCTTCTTGTCCACGCTTAAATCACTCATTAATGCTCAGACTGCTTTAGGCAGGGAAGACCCAGACCAGTGTGGAAAGCTGCATCTTCGCTACATCTTCTACTGGCTAAAAAACCCCATCATTTCCTCTTGCTGGCAAAAGGAAGTTCGGTGTGCAACAGCAACAGCAAACCCAGCTCTGCTTGGCTGGCAGAGCAATAGGCTTACCTCCCCCTGGAAGGCTGCACGTTCTTACAGTGTGTTGTTATCTCGCTGGAGATGCCTGCTATGCAGAAGAGCAGGAGCACTTTGCCCTCCTTGTCTCTTCCTGAACTTTGTCCACTGGGTCAGGATTGATTATAAACCCAGGGGCTAATTACGCTGCTTCTCATTTCACCGAACAAAGGTGTGTGGGCAACACCTCTGTGCTGTGGCCAGAGTCTCTAGGACAAGACCTGTGAAGGGAAATGGTTGAGGAAGAAGCAAAGAGCTTACCTATGGAGCTGAGTGAGAAGGGGGGTGTGGAGAACAACGGGTTTGTTCAAAATGAGGCTGTTTATGACAAGGGGACCAACTCCAGTACCCAAGAAGAAGTGCCAAAAGCGTGCACTGTTGATGTGGATGCAGCAGCTACAGAGGAGCCGGTGCTGAAGCCCTATGCAGGGATGCCAAAGGAAGTGTTGCTCAAGTTCTCCAGCCAAGCCCAGTACAGAGTGACCAGGGAGATTCTCTTCTGGCTCATAATTGCCACCGCTGTCCTGCTTGTATGCGCCACGATTGCCATTATTGCTCTCTCTCCAAAGTGCCTTGACTGGTGGCAGGCGGGTCCTATTTACCAGATCTATCCTCGTTCCTTCAAGGACAGTGACATGGATGGGAATGGGGATCTGAAAGGTGGGTGAATTTCCAGTCTTGGTATGTGCAAAGCTATGTAGCCGTTGTCCATGTGTATGCATATATATATCTGTGTGTGCATGTGCATGTATATACATATATAGATGTATTTACAAAATCACCATACAGTCCAACAGAGAAAGCCACCCTAACGGAGAAGGGAAGAAAAGTTGTCTGACTAATCATTAATGGCAACTCACACTGTCCTGAATAAATACAGGAGCTGCTTGCTCAAGTTGCTAAGTCTAAGCCTGGAGTTTGCATGTTTAGAGGTGGGGATGAGGGCAAGAAGCAGCACCACTGCCATCAGAGTGAAGTATCCCCTCAAAACTGAGGTCAGGCAGGGGCAAAGGTGGTGCTGAGCGCTTTGCAGTGTTGGGTTGGCAACATTTCCTTAAGGAAAAGTGTGTGAGGGGGATATAAAACTGACAAAGAGGAGAGAACGATACCTTACTTCTTCTTCCTGGCCTGGGTGCTTTTGAGCTCTTAATGCCTTGAGAAGGTGTGCCCCATAGCAGGAGGCAATGCCACTTACCAGTAGCTTAGCTGAGACTGAGAAAGAGAAGGATCAACACTGCAATGGACCATTTCCAAACAGCAAGCCCTGGCTGTAATATGTTCTGCTGACAAGTGAAGAGAAGGAACTGTTCCTGTAGTTATGTGCCAGTAGTGATGTGCCAGGAAGACAGGAAAGATTTGGGTTTAGAAATGCTAGGGGAGGCTGCAGTGAGGTGCCCTTACAGCAAACAACAGAAAAACTCCATAAGAGACCTTTCCTAAGGCAGGGAAAAAACCTGGGATCTTTGCATTGAAATTGTGCTTCCCTTTGGGTGGTTCGAGGATTAATGGCTGTGCCTTGCAATGGGAAAGCATTTCAAATGCTGTTGCTGCATTTTAACAAAATACAGGAGTTTTCCAGAAGTGAGAATTAACTTTATTAAATTGTAAATATTGTTATGATGCAGAATAGAGATTTGGTTTGATCTGATGTTCTTTCGTTCCTGCTTTACCTCCTTTGTAAAAGTGGCGTTGAACGGTTCCATTCTGTGATCTATCCCTGAAGAAACACCACAATTGCCCTGGCACCCCTGAAAACAGGGGACGGTTGTGCATCCAAGGGACCTGTGTACCCCCTTTGACTGAGGGCCCACAGCAAGCTTACTTCAACAGAAATAGTTTGTCTTTTCTAAACAGACGATGCTCTGCTCCTTTAAACAGGCATCCAAGAAAAACTGGACCACATTACGTATTTGAACATAAAAACTATCTGGATCACCTCTTTCTATAAGTCCCCGTTAAAAGACCTTGGGTATGGTGCCGAAGACTTCTATGATATTGATCCCATGTTTGGATCAATGCGCGATTTTGAGAACCTGCTTGCAGCCATCCATGACAGAGGTAAGCTGCAGCTCTGAGCAAAATAACTCTATTAAGACATTCAATTCAGACCAAAGAGGTGCACCTCACAGCGCTGGGTTGTGATCTGAGATTTCAGCTCACGCATCCGGTGGTTCCCCCATGGTGGTGTTGAGCAGAGGCAGATGGAGATGCCGGTGACAAGTCTGCATCAGCTCCACAGCAACATGAGTCCTGCCATTGCCATTTCACACCTATGAACATTGGGGTAGTGCTGGGAGCTACAACAGCACCGTCAGGCTGCTCTGTCCTCTGCAAGTCATGCTCCCTCCCCACTGAGGATGCTCGTGGGTGTCGGGGCTGATGTGCTGTCTGTGCTCCCTGGTGGGTATAGTGTGGGCATCCATGGTCTGGGCTGAGGTGTGATTGGTTTTGACTGAATTTTATGACTGATGGCTACTTTCTGAAGCAGACAGGAAAACAATTACAGGCTTGGGAGGGAACATAGGCTTCCTTCCTGTGACTGCATCCTCGGTTGGTGCCTCTATGCCTTCGGCCAAATGGTTTGCTCCCAAAGGTGTTGCCCCTTACAGCTGTAGGGGGAAGGGAAAATGGTTTGCCAGGCCCCAAAACACCTGGGGTTTCAAAAACCGTCTAGTCTTCAGAAAGGGTGAGGAAGAACATGTGTTTACTGATGCTAGACTGGTGAGGTGTCTTTCCCATCTAGGAGGTGTGGGAGACGGGTATGAAGCCACAGTTAATGGAAATGGTTCTTAACAGCAGAAATCTGACTCTTTTCTTGCCCCTTCTTTCCCTCCCCAACAATGGGCTGGGGGAACAGTACCAGCCAGATGTGTTGCAGCTGCCTGCAGGTTCTAGTTAGTCTGCGTTGGTAGGTTGGAGCTTTTGGGGTGGTTTTGCCTCTCTCCTTTGCCAGACCTCTGGGATGTAAGCACCCCAGTCGCTTGTGATACTGCACTGGAACAAAAAGAGGTGAACTTTGTCTGAAAAGGGTCCATGTAATGGTCGGTTTGTGGTTTGATTTTTAAGGGCTAAAAGTGATAATGGATTTAATACCGAACCACACCAGCGACAAACACCGGTGGTTCCAGCTGAGTCGCAATCGCACTGGCAAGTACACGGACTACTACATCTGGCAGGACTGCGGCCAGGCTGCGGGTTCCATCACTCCTCCAAACAACTGGGTAAGCGCTGGAGGCAAACATGCAAATACCAGGCTGGATTCAGGTGGCCACAGTGTGTGCTGGGTTGTAAATGCCTGCAGGAGGTTCAAACCGATGTTACTCAGTGAGCAAGTGCAGATTTAAACCGTCTCAGGGTGAACGGTTCCTCCTTCAAACAGAATTTAACAGATTACTTGTGTTCCTTTACCTCAGTGTTAAACCTTCACTCCTTAAACACAAAGAGGATGATTGTGCATAAGCCATTGTGTCCCCTTCTGTGACTGGGTGCTTCCCTCTAGAAACTCCCTCTCGGCTCCCCTGCAGTCACGGTGGGTGGGGAAGGAAACAAACAAGTGTGTTGGTGGCTTTTTTCCTTCTTCAGGAGGTGATCAGGCCAGAATGTGTGTTCCCTGTTCCAAATGTATTTACTTGATCCGATGGGTGCACAATCAGGAGCTTGTGTATTCTAAAAACGAGGTGGAATGAGTATTTTGTACCAGCTTGTGTAGCTTCTCTTTAAACTTGGCCTTAAGAGCTATCCTAGCCTTTGGAATCTTCTATTACAGAGATTTTGACTAAGTTAACATCTTACCATGCTGACTGTTGTTGGTGCTTCAAAGGGGTAATACCGGATTGCAGAAAGCTCAGTTAATTAAAGCTGGTTTTGGTAAGATTAAGGAAAAACAATTCCAAAAGCAAAGTTCCCACCCATGTTTCCCCCTCTATTCTGGATAATTCCCAGTGGAAGCCTACTTAAAGGAAAAAGAATGAAACAGAACCTTGAGCAGCAAATACGTGTGGTAAAACACAGCTAAAGGGAGAGCAATGAGTGGGAGAGGGAAATGTAAAACAGAAGCACAAAATCTAGTCCACTGATGAGACATCTGGTGCTTTATTACATGCACCGCAGCTTAAAGTGAATGCATAAGGGCACGTTGGTTAAATGGGGATTCCTGATTATCCTCCTCCCTTACCTGAGCAGGTGAGCATCTATGGGGATTCCAGCTGGCAGTTTGACGATGTGAGGGAGCAGTGTTATTTCCATCAGTTTGGGAAAGAACAGCCGGACTTAAACTTCCACAACCTCGCTGTCCAACAAGAAATCCATGTAAGTACGAGCCCCGCCGCGGCGCCATCAGCAAAGCAGCTGCTTCTGCACTTCAGCTCTCTGGTGATGGTCAGTTCTGTAGCTGGAAGAAATCCAAGGCTTGCAGTGTATGTAAGCCATTGTCCAGGCAAACATGAAGTCTATAAGCAAAACTGAGGGTTTGTGCTGTAATGCTTCCAGTGCAGAGCTACACACCATTAGAACTGTCCTTGAGCGGAAGCATTGGCAGAGGGTGCTGTTACAGCCCTCTGGAGTTTACAAAGGTACAACTATGGCATTTTTTGCTCTCTTAAGTCCCCTGCTCTCCCAAGTGCCTGGCAAGATCTGGATGGGGTTTTGGAACAGCAGATTGCACTTTAAAAGGAGCTCCCTTTCCCCTTCCCTTCCCACTAAAGGCTATCTTAAAATTACTTTGATGCTTCAGGAGCCCCCTGCTTTTCAGCCCAACCTTAGCTGCAGACTACTGATACTTGCCTCTCTATAAATCAAACCTCAAATAGCTGTTCCCACTCTTGTTTATGCTGATTTATTTTCCATCTGTGACAAGATCCCCCTTAAGCTTTTGTTAAGCTAGATTAAATGGGCTGGGATTTTCCAGTCTTTCCTGAAGTGAGAGACTCTTCATCCCTTTGTTTAGCCACTACTCACTCCTCATAGGCTTTTCTCACCTGTGGTTGGCCAGAACTGAACAAATTGAACAGAAAAGATGTCTGGGCAGAATCTTGCAGTGGTATAGGCACTTCTCTCTGTGTCCCAGGATAGCTGTTACTTGCTTTGAAGTTGGTGCTGTTATCAGGTAATCCAACATGAGTGCTCCCTGGAAGCAGTTAACTGCTTTCAGCTCTAGCCTCCATCAATAGCCAAGGATGAAGGCACTTAGGTGGGTTTGGATGTATCAACAACAGTTAGTGGAAGTGGAAGGCAGGGAGAGAAGTCTTTGTTGATGAAAGGAGCTGTGAATTAGCCAGTTAAATGTGGGGCTGGCACCTTGTTTTATCAAAGAGACGTTTGCATTTTCAGGAAAGGGAGACAAAAGTTGATTTGAATCACAAGGAACGCCTGGGCTTGGGGATAAGGGGGAGATAGTGAGTTTCGGTCTGTCTGCACCGCTGCTGACTTAACAGGGGAGACAGATGGACAGCAATCACTGCCTCACCAAGGCAAGGTGGTGGTGCTCTGATGAAACCTCACGTCTGTCTGCACCACGTCTCCCCGCAGACAATGTAGAATTCCTTAAAATATGAGGCAGGGCCTGAACATGGAGAATCTGAGAGTTGCTGCTTTTAATCTTTTTAATATGCTTTTTCCCCCGAAAATTTGCACCCCATCAGCTACTTCAAGTGTTTTGATTTTGTCCTTTAGTGTCTGTTACTTTGTACTGTAGAATTCTGGTGCATTTCTTTGGTGGAAGCCTTCACAGCTGCCCACTTTGTGTTGGTCTCTGTCTCTATGAGGCCTCCCCCCCTCATGGCAGGCACTGAATGTACATGAAGAAATAAAACACATTCTTGTTAGTGAAGGCATGAAATGAGGCTGCTTTTGCGAGGGATCCTTGGAGAACTCCACAAGTAACCTGTCCATCTTGATACTTAACACCGCATCTTGCCACTTGCATCTTTTTCTCCTAGCATTGCTCATACTTTTCAATGCTCCTGGCTAAATTGGTTTTTAGGGGTACTTGAGATACTATTGAAGCTCCAGTAGCAAACGGATGCTGCATTTCCTATGCAAAGAGATGAAATGAAAATGATGAAGTTTGGCCTGGCAACACCAACCTATGGTAAATGCTTATGAGCTTCATTAATTGCTCCAGCATGTTAAAGAATAATCCTTGCCTAGTACCTTAATTCAAAGCCCTGTTTCAGAAGGGTAGGTGGACTGAGCAGGAAGCAAAATGGACTCTTCCAGAGAGTCTCAAGCCTTCGGTTTAGCTTTCTTGCACAAATGAGTACGATGTCAGTACTCGACACTTGCACTGCTGATACCTGGCGCTGCCTCTGTGATGAGCACTCATGTAAGCAGGAATTAAGTTTTGGTGGATTCGGCATTGGACAGACAACACGAGAGCTGCTGCTTTCAGCATGGCTCTATGGGAAAGTACAGCCCAGTAAGGTGGAGTCTTTATTTGCCAAACTAAAATCTGTGAAGCTGGAGCGTGGACTGGTTCTGCTCCAGCCCACTGAGACAAGTGTATGTCCCACGTTAAAAAAAGGCAATTCAATAGCTGTGTTTAAAAAGCAGGTTTTGTCCTCAGACGCAGCAGAGTACCTGATCTAAAAGAACATTTACAGAAACAGCCCAGGAGGGATTGAACTTTAGAGTCGCTTAAAACTAGAGCAATTAAAACTACAGTAATGTAATAGCTAATGAAGTGGGATATAATTTTACTAATAGTGAAATTAGGAATTGAAAGCAGTTAACTTGGGGAAAATAATTTTCCATGTGCCTACAAATCAACAAATAAGCCTGCAAATAACAGAAAAATTTTACATCAAATGTTTTAAGAGCTCTATTGTGTAAAAAGAATATTAATGGCACAAGGTCTGTGCAGAACAGCATATTCTCGCTTATTTGAATCAATGTGTTCTAACTATGTGCAGCCAGGATGGGTGCTCAGCAACAGCAGCACTTAGCCTGAGCCCAATTGTTTTGATGGATGAGATTAGAAATGGCTTTTAGTGAGGCATGGCCTGGCTTTGGTCTCCATGGGAGAAGTTACAGGCCAGTCTTTTTTCCTTTATATGGGATGAAATAACAAGACATGCTTTATTTAGACTTCAGTTTGACTTCTAGTAAAATCTGAAGTACAAATGACAACATAAGCTGTTACAGATTCATACCACCTAACAGGTTTAGTTTCCTTTTTGAGTATATGCTGTTTTGAATGGGGTGGGCTCACTTGGGCTTCTCAACTTTTACCTTTGTCTAGGACATCATCAAATTTTGGCTCGGCAAAGGGATTGATGGATTCAGTTTCAGCGCTGTGAAGTATCTTCTAGAAGCAAAGCATCTCCGAGATGAGCCTCTAGTGAACAAGTCCCAGAATCCAGTAATGTATATGTTGTGTCTTTGCTTTTGTCCTGTATGTGCTACTGGGGCAAGAGCGTGTATGTTTTTACCCTTTGTTCTTAATTGTGGCTTTAAGAAGACTGGTAAGTCGTGTACCTTGGAAGGTGGGTGGCTCTTTGCCCTGCAAGAGCATGTACGAAAAGAAGCCCCTGAGCTCAGGTGTAGGTCAGTGAGTATACCTGCAAGCAGAAGCCCCGTGGGTGGGAGGAGAATTGGTCCATACACACTTTGTAGTTCTGTTCTGACACTGTTGCCTTCAATTTTCTGTTTAAAATCATCTGCTTTGCAATTTATAGTTTAAAAATACCAGTTTTGTGATTTTAATAGTTGATTGGTTGTGTCTGGGGAGCCTGTTGCAGGTGGGATCAGTTGGTTAGAGCTGCAGTTAGTGGGCCCTCCCTCTTGAAGGATGGAATCCAAAATAACCAGCCCTGTGCTGTAACAACTTTACAGCTCCCAAGTGCAGTTCAGCTCTGCACTGTTAGCATTGGTATGCTAAATTCACTTCAGTTAAAACGGATTTGGGCTGGTGCATTGTCTCGGGAAAAGATGGAAAGAATTCGGAGAATTCTGAAACCTAAAATATTGGTGAACTAATGGGAAATATTGTATCTTTCCTTAAGGAGAATATCACTGCCTATTCCCAACTCTACCATGACTACACGACCACACAAGTTGGCATGCACGATATCATCCGTAGCTTCCGTCACACTATGAATCAGTTCAGCAGAGAACCTGGCCGATACAGGTAATCATTATTGCAGCCAGTTCATTTATTCTCTATCAGCTTCTTGCTAGGAATAAAATGGTGGTGGTGGTTTTTGATTTTGGTTTTTTTTATACCATAATATGTCATAAAAAGGTTTTTTTTTGCCTCAAATGCAACTAGTGGTGCATAGGCTGTACTATCACTTCCCCTCCCTTAACCTGGTGACAACACTCTTCCTAATGGAGCCCAGGCCACCATTAGCCAACTTTGCTACAAGGGCACATCACTGGCTCATGTTCAACTTGGGGGACCCCCAGGACCTTTTCTCCAAAGGAAAGCTTGGAAATTGCTGGAATATGGAGTGTGTGGATGTGGATTCAGAAAGATAAGTCTTCAGTCAGATACTTACAGCCTTGTGTTGACTCTTGACGTTTCCAAGAAGAATTTCTCCTTGTCTGCTTTACAAAATACTTTTCTTTGTATTAATCTTTGTCGGGGAATGGGATTCTTAATGCAGTGTTATTTTATATGTATGTCCAGCAGCATTCCTAGCTTCTTTCTGCTCTGTGCAAAAATGGGATTTGTATACTCCTTTGTAGATTTCTGGGTTCTGATGGTGATGACAAGGAAGACATGGAAGCAACAATGACGTATTATGGAAAAACTTTTGTCCAAGAAGCAGATTTTCCTTTCAATTTCAACCTAATTAGCATGAAAAATCTATCAGGCAACAGTATTTTTGAAGCTGTCAACCTGTGGATGAAAAACATGCCTGCAGGAAAATGGCCAAACTGGGCGGTAAGAGTTCTAGACCAGCTCTTATAGGAAGAGCTGGTTCCTATAGTTCACCTATGGGTGATAGCTCCTCTTATGGTGATAGAAACCTCCCCTTCCCAGTTGATTTCAGTGGGATCAGCAGCAGGCTAAGCCCCTGGCTAGCCTACAGAAGATAACCATGTGAAAGTCTCTGCTGCTGTAGTCACAGTTGTTGGTGCCAGCCGGCTGCCTTGCCCTTTGATTAAGTTACACTCCCTGTGCAAGGGTGACAGAAGGGAACTTATGATCATGCCTCTCCCTCAGTGTAAAATAGGGCATTGGCTTAAACCACCGGCAAGGACGGGATCAGTACAATTATCTTTGGCCATAAGCTGACTTAGTGCAATGAACTTTGTAAACCTCCTGAGGCCAGGAAAGAACATAGCTGGCAGCTGAGAGCAAGCACATCTGGGCTGGTCAAGAGATCTTTTCAGAACAAGCCCCACTTTCACACAGCAGAGAAAATAGCAGAAACTGGGGGGAACTGTAATTGTGGAGAGTTGTTATTTGTCATCTCTCCTCACTCCTGCCTCGTGCTGCTGGCAGGGCTTCTGTGCACTAAACTACTTCAGCCAGAAGCTTGTAATGGCACCAAGGTAGAAGATAGTTGCCCTCACAGGCCTGGAGGGGGAAGAAAAAAATGAAAGAGAAAAAAACCCTTCCGCCTTATTAAAATCAGTTAACCCATTTCACATCTGCATGGACATTTGTGTTTAACAAATGATGTTTTCTTCAGGTTGGAAGCCCTAACGCTCCTCGGCTTTCCTCTCGGATTGGGAAAGAGTATGTCAATGTCATGAACATGCTGCTTTTAACCCTCCCCGGTACTCCAGTAACTTACTACGGTGAAGAAATCGGCATGGAGAACATCGCATCAGAAAGTGTAAGTGAAGAGCATGAAAACTGATCCTGTTGTTGGCTAGTTCCAAGTAACAGAACTCTCAAAAATGGAACTTGTGTTAACCAAACCAGTCTTTATCACTGTTTAGATGGTTTTCTGTGCTCGCCATAGCAAAACCATTGGACAGCACGTGGCCAGGCTAGAAACCAGAAACAAGGCCCTGATGTGTGTCTGAACTGCTAGACTGCAGTCATCGTCCCCAGTTTCTGTCCTCTGCCAGAGCACCAAGTGCCAATACCAGGCCTGGGCTAGTGGTTAGGGGAGGTGTGTTGCAGTCATCCAAGGAGAGAGGAACCAATTCACTTTCTCCTTCCTCCCATGGAAGTATCCTAACTGCTATGCCAAAATCCATTATTTCCTGACTGCTACTAAAGGAAATCGGAGTTCATGACAGACCATAGCTACAGCTGCCATCTCCTGCTGACTACAAAGGCATCTAAGCCACAGTCCTCTATAGCGTGCCTAAGCTCTGAAGAAGGCATCTCCAGAAAGGGGTGGGAGCACAGACCAGCCCTGCTCAGCACTGGCTGGTAGCAAGGAGAAGCGGCTTTTGCTTGTCCTGCAGGGTATTTTCATTTGACTTTTAGATCCCCTTCTACAAAGGATTTAGGTACCTCAGCCTGGGAGCCAGGTGTCTGGTTCACTTGATCACTGCTAAAAGTAACGTGAAGACGTTCCACACTGTGCTGGCCTGTGGAACTTACAAGTTTTCACATTCAGCCCCTGTAATTTCTTGTCTCTTTTGTGATCATACCCAACTTGTGTTGTGTTTCATTATCTAAGATGTATGGGCATGATTGGAAAAGGTCATGCACAAAAGGGAATGGGTCAGCTCTGCCTCTCACGGCTGTATTTGAGCACCACAAAAACACGGTCCTGTGGCAGATGCTGGCTTCACTGTAGAAAGTCTCTGTTAGGGAGTCAGCCCCAGTGATACTACCAGTGGTGTTGGATGGCTGTGCATCAAAAGGAAAAAGATATCTGAACAAGCACAGGACTGCCACCAGGTTTGTCCAATTCAGGTGTGAGATGATTCTCTGATTTAAAAGGAAATCTCATTTCCTCTGAGGAGCACCTAGGCCAAACTGTCTCCTGCACTTGCTTACTGCTCACAGAATGATATTCTTCAGAAAAGTGGTGTGCCATCAGCTCCTCAAGGTTTACTCTGTTAGAGGCTGCCCTGAGGTTCTCTGCTTTCTAACAACACAGAGCCACTCAACCTGGAGAGGAAGATTCCCTGATTAATGGGTGTCATGGAAAGACACAGAGTATTTGATCAGGGTATAGTCTCTAGCCACAGCATTTAAAATACTTCAGGAGAAACTGAAAGAGGTGAAGATGAAAGGGAGTGTTACCAGTGCTCAAAACTTAGGATTCTTTTTCCCTGCTTTTCAGAACACGCTAAAAGGAGAAACCCATTATTTATAATGTCACAAAGCAAAGTGACAATTTCTTTTGTTGAGCTGCTGTTCTGACAGATTGTATTGAAAAGTGCCCTTTGTATGAAAAACAGTTTTCATGGAAAACAAACACTCAAAGTATGTGCAACATATTTTATGCCCTCTTATATCATTAAATTTAAGTGTCAGATCTTTTGGCAGCTCCTCAATAACAAAGAGGAAGCTTTTCCAGAAATTTTCTGAATTCTCTGAAAGAGAATTTCAGCCTTTTTACATTGACACTTTTGAATCAGCTAAAGCTGGTTTTCAGTAAAGTTTTTGCACTTGGAAATAATTTTATCTTTCTAATGCAAACAATCCTGTCCAAACTGTACCCCCTCTAAGCCTGAAGAGTTCTAAGGTGAAAAGCGTGATGGTTACAAAAGAACAGACGCTCAAGAGGATTTGAGTTTATTGTGATTGTAACATTATCTCTTCTTAGGACTCATTACCATATATTTGCTCACTGCATGGCTAGGTATTCCTCAGAACATCCTAGCTGTCATTAGTAGACTTCTATCCACCCATCTGTTGCAAGGGGAGACAACCCTGGTAGAGCCATTTGGGAATTCCACATTTTACCCATCACTGCGGTATCCACGAGACCATCCATTCTCCATGTCAGTAACAGTTTTGATTCTTATTTACTCTTTGGATTTGGAGCAGGATTACATCCTCCTCATTAAATTTTAACTTAAACTCAAGGAAGCAATACTGAGATGGTGATTGTTTGGAAGATGTGCGAACGTGCTGCTTAAGGGGTAAACATACTAATCGCCACTTTATTTTCTAGGTGACCTTTCCAGAGAAATCCCCCATGCAGTGGGATGGCAAAGTTAATGCTGGTTTTACTGAGGGCAACAGTAGCTGGTTACCTGTTAACCCCAACTACCAAAGCGTCAATGTTGAAGTAGGTATCTGCCTGTCTGACAAACTGATGCTCTAAAAATATCTATTTTGCTCCCACTCCTTTTACTGAGTGGGAATTGACAGTTGAGAATAAACTCAAAGGAAGAAAAAGCACTGAATCCTCACAAATTCTACTGGAAAAGGAAATCCTTGCAGCAGCAAGGAGCCTATGTCATTTACATTAATTTAAGCAGAGCAACTGCACTTACGATCTGGCAATTTGGCTCTTTAACACTCTTTAAACTATTTTAGTATCAATTTGGAACCTGGTTGGTTTGGTTTGGTTTGGTTTCTTTTAATTTCTATTACCATGGAAAGCACTGTCCTTGTAACAAGAACCATAGACCATCTCTTAACATAAGCAGAACAGTGAATTGAACAGATTTTGCTGCTCTCCAGCGCTGACCAGAACTGAAGACAGAAAAAGTAAATCTAAGTCAGGAAAAACATAAACCACAAAACCAACCTGTGGCTTCAGTAGATAAGACTCAATAAAAAAAGCTCAGTAACAGTACTAGGACACCATGGGAGGAAGAAACAGTTGTTAGAGCTGGGGAAATTCTGCCATACCTCATAATCTCTGTCTCTGCCACTCCATAAATGCCAAGGAAGTGTATGTGAAAAAGCAGTTTTTCAGTGGGATCTGCAGACAAATATGATAAGAGGTAATTGTCAAAACAGAATTCTACTACATGTGTTCTCAGCAGGCTGGGTGGATGTGAAAGGTAAGCAGCATTTCCTACATTCAGTACAAAGACATGACCCTGTTAATGCTGGCTGTTGCAGATCCAGATGACCTGGTCCAACTCAACCCTGAATTTGTACAGAGAGCTAACTTCACTTCGCAACAATGAGCTCCCCATTCATCGGGGCTGGATGTGCTACATCTGGAATGACAGCAATGTTTTTGTGTATGTGAGGGAATTGGATGGGTTAGACACAGTCTTTCTGATGGTTCTCAATTTTGGGCAGGAATCAACAATTGACCTGAAAGCTGTCATTCCTAATCTTCCCCCTAAAGCTACTATAAGACTAAGTACTAATTTTAGTGATGCTGGTAAAGCTGTCAATACTGAACAAATTAAAACTGAAATGGGAGAAGGCCTCATCCTTGAATATAAAACAGCAAAGGCTGTTCATACTATGAAAGCTTTTCAAACAAATTGTTTTGTGGCAGAAAAAGCTTGTTATTCCAGTGCCTTCAATTTACTCTATTCAACCTGTTAAGTGCAGGAGTAGAATACCCAAGCTTCTATGTTGATTTAGAAAGCACTGGTTTCAGGGAAGCATTCAAAAATTTCACTTTGTCCTTTAAAACTTCATCTGTGTACAAAATAAATGTCCTGAAAAATAAAGCAGATACCAAATTGTCTTGCATCTGTACTGGTGATGGATAGGAAAAAGTATGGTACAGACTTACCCTTAAGGTCTGTGGAGAAAAGAAGTAAATCTGCCCTAGAAAACTGTCCTGTTTAAGTGCATGTACTTCTGTGAGGAAAGAGAAAAGGTGCTTCCTGGGTGCTGTCCTTACGGTTGCTGGTCATTCAGAGCTCCTGCAAAATCTAAAGCCAGTAGCAGTTCATGAAGTAACTGTAAAAATGGCTGTAGATGTGCAAAACGGACCCTAAAGGTGGCCCTGTATTTGTTAAAAGAGGTAAAAGCAAGCAAGTCTAATATAAAAAGTTGTGATGCTTTACCTCTTCTCTCAACTCTAAGAGCGCTGATTATCCTCAAAATTAATAAGAACAACAAGAAAATATAGCAAATATGCCCAATTCTACACTCAGGACTGCATTTCCAATTGATTGTCTCACACCCCCTCCTCCCCTCCATGTACCCTGCTAAGAGTGCATTCGCATTCCTCAGTTCCTTTTTCTACCCAAGTAGGTAGGTGAGGTGGGCAAATGTTAGCTCAGAGTAAGCAACTGAAACAACTCTACTGAATGTCACACTTGTTCACAGGTTTTGATCTCTACTGGGTGTACCTACATTATACCTACAGTGACACACAGGAAGGATAAGCATTTGACTTAGTGCAATCTGTTTTTGACATAGGGGTGATTTGGGGAACTCTTATTTTGGTTTGAGGACCTTATGGCTGCCTAGTGTATTTTTCACTAATGGTACCATTAGCTGCCCCAAACATGTGTCTTAACAAATAATGTGCAGCAGTTTGGTGCCTTGCTCAGAGCTCAGCTCAGTATGAGGCAGGCTTGCTTCAGTGGGGTCGTCCTTTGTGTTTTATCCTCTGGAGAAGCTCTGGCATCCCCTTCTGGGGCATTCATCTTGTCTTCTGGAGGACTTTGGCACCTCTCTTTTAAAGATTATCATGCTAGTTAAGGTACCTGCAAGATTTTGAATCTACTCAGATGAAAGAGTTCTAAGATTCCTGTTCTTGAATCTTAGAACTCTTAAGATTTAAAAACTAACTCAAAAAAGAACCATTTCTTTTTTGCAGTTTTTCTGATCCCACCATATGATGAGTACACTATGGCTGTGACGTAGCTAGGAAGGGCAACAGTCATCATCACCTACACATGGGGGTTAGTTTTAGAAGACTTCTAACCAGTGAGACTTCTAAATCAAATACTTCTTGGGAGTTTTACTGCCTTGTGTAAAATGTGGTTTTGACAGAGAGGTCTTAAACTGTCAAGGCTGTGAGCACGAAGTGCATGTCCTTCACATGTTGGGCTTTGCACACTAACTGTTGTGAACAGTGCTGCACTGCTCGCTTATGTGAGAACCGTACTGAACAGATTGATTAATGCAGGTGGCTACTTCTGTACTATCTGGCAGGGAAGAAATTTGGCTATTAGTTTGTATGTTTATAAGCCAATGCTATATCCAACTTTGTCTTTGAATTTGTCTGCTTATGCCCACAAAGCAGGGATCCAAGAGGAGCTACCTCTGGAGACTGTGTTCGCTTTTCATATAAATAAAAATCCGACCCCAAGTTCTTCAGGTGGTCAATGTGTTTATTTGCAGGGTTTGCTATGATGTTGGAGATGGCATACTTCAAGTTCTTTGTTCAGAAAAGCAAGGTGTCTTGCAACCTAAAACAATGATAATAGTTCATTACAAAACAGAAAAATTCTTTGCTCTATAAACCTTCAGGTTCTTGTACAGTTATTCCAATCTTATTCCTTTCCCATACTAATACTAAGCAATACCTTAACCTAGGACAGAATGAGGCTTTTCCTGAGAGAATTAACTTTGGGAATAACTGTCTCAACCACCAAATAACATTTGCTAGGATTTATTAAAATTAACAGTAATAAAATTTGTATCCAACTGTGATAGTCTGAGACATTGGTAATGGTATGTCAGGTCTTGGCAGTATGCTGCTGTTAACATGTACACTTGTACAATGGGCAAAGTCTTGAAACCTAATTGTAGTAGCGTTCTTTTGATAGTACAGCTTATGTAAAGATCAAACCCATCACATATGTTTTACTCATGAGGAAGATGGAAGTAAAGAGCCAGTATGACAATTTTAGGCACTTACTGCTCTACAGTTCAAGACTGTTCCTGCTGGAACGATGTTTGACACAACTTAGAAACTTTAATTCAAAGCTCTCAGTACTTTACAATGGACATTTAACACTATTTTGGGTCTTAAGGCATGATGAGGTTAAATAATCTGGCTCTGTCACTGGCTCTTCTATATCTCTAAAAATTATATATTGATAAATATATAAAATTATCTGGGTATGTGTATATATATACACATAAGAAACTACTGAATTTTATACATATCTAGAACCAGAAGTTGCTCTTGCAATATTTATAAAAGGTTGCACGAGCAACTTTAATTCCAGCAGGTCTGTTTTCTTTTTCTTTTGATACTTCAAACACACATTCAAGCATTCAAGCATACATTCCATGAACGACTGAGGCTGAAGTACCCATCAAGGGGACACCTGCCTCCACCACATTATGACTTTGTGCAGCAAAGGGAGCATACCTCGTTCAGTGAATCCTCCCAAGATGAATCGCAATGACTGCCGCTTGCCTGGATGTCTAAGATGATATTAGGGATCCAATTTCCTGGAACAGTGAAGCTAGCGATCACTTGACATTGAATGAACAAGGAAAAGGGTAAGTGGGGATGTGAGTTGTTCAGGATAGGTCATTCTGCCTCCTGTCCTGACAGAATTTCTGTTATTCCTTAAGAAGAGAATCATATAGGGGCTTGCTGGATGGACTATTTGTATTTTTATTAACTATACGCTTGAAAAGTGTTTGTATGTTTAGCATCTTTGTTCTCGCTGAGTTTCTTTGGAAAGACATGCTTTTTAATTTCTGAGCAAAGAAAGAAGCAGCAATTACAGTATCTCCTATCCCTTCTCAATCACTGCAGTTGTGCTGCTAGCAGAGAAGGAGCACAATGAAATGTAGAAAAGCTAATTCAAGATCTCTGTTGGTACTGATGGTAAAAGCCTCTCCCCAGGTTGGGTGGTACTAGAAAATGGTAAGTCCTGAGTGTTACCTTTTGCTGGCAACAGTCCCAAAGCTAGTGTTAACTTTCAGGTATAAAAGTGTCCCTGCCTTGGCATTACTGTTATTCTAACTTGGACTAACACCTGCAGTTGGAGCAAACTGGGAAAAGCAGTTTTTTGTAGAGCAGCAAAAGTGATTTTTATCCATGTGTTGCTGAGAACTGCAGGCTGAATATATCAGTAGCTGGACTAGACAGTATGGGTTCATCTATCACTGCCCAGTAGTCACCAAATGTTGAGGCCTAGGAAAGTGTAAGCCCCACTCATATTCTCCTAGTCTTTTTCATCTCAAAGAGGGTTTCCTTAGCCTGTTGTGGTTTGTCATGTTTCACATTTAACACATGGGTTGAACTATTTCAGGCAGGTCTACAATACAGAGATATCTGAACCCTCTTAAGGCTCTGGAGAGTGCATCTCAAGAAGCTGAGGTTTATGTGTCAGTGTGACTGCACATCTCATCTCTGCAGGTAACAGAAATTACTCCAGAGCTTTAGATGCTGGATTGTACTGTACAAATGAATGCTTCTAAGGAAGAGTCAATCACTATAGTGTTTAATTACATGATTTACTAATATTCTGGTTGTTAGCTCTATCTTTTTCTTACCTTTCTCACTTGTTGTGCTGGCATGATCTAGTGCAGCCCTCCTCAGTTTCTGAACATATCGTAAAACTCCTGTTAGTGGTACCCGTTGATCATTTTCATACGCCGTGATAAAAACTGAAGGGTAACACTGAGATTAAAAACCAAAACCAGTTCAATACTTGACAACTGATCTTTCTCATAAAGTAACAGATTTTTCTCTATTTATTTTACTGTAATACCACAAAAGTAGAAGGTATTCTACATATTAAGGTTGTTATACGACAGAATAATCTATTACTTCCTGGCAGTCCTGTAACAACAGCTGGTTTTGAAACCTATGGATTATTTAGGATTGATTTCAGGGGTCTTTTATGACTCCAAATATTGCCAAGATCATTACTGAAATAGTTCATATTTGTATTAATGATTCATTTTCACACAAAGCAGCAGCAAAGACAATTCTAAAGTCACTGGGGTTTAAAGCACTGAAAAGGTAAAATAGGCTTTTTTAAAAAAATTCCAGTTTCCACTTTTTGTTCTATCATAAACTGTTATATTACAGTACTATTCCACACAGAGAATATAGTTTTACCTGTGGCTTAATATTCTGGTATGGGCAATAGCTTTTGATATACTTCATACATTTTTCATCTGCTAATGGGTTTCCCCATTCCTCCTGTTCTTCAATTGTCAGTGGGAGATGAGTTTTCATCATTGTATTTAGGACATCTACGAAAGGAGCCTTAGAAGTTATTGAAAAAGAAAAATTAGCAAATAGGACAGAGGACCTCACAGGTCTAGTTCAAGGTTTTCTCAAATGAGGAAAGGGAACTTTGAATTGGAATGTTTCCAATTGTGAAACTGGTAGAATGAACCAAAGACACAGTTGAACATCATAATCCATGCAAGGTCTGCAGCACCTCACCTGTAAAACCATGGCTCTGACGAGTTCTGGAGCAGTGTTGCACAGGGCTCCTGCAAGAACTCCTCCAGCACTGGCAGCTGCTAGTGCTGTGTATTTTGGCTGAGAAAATCCTAGCTCGTGCAGCAGCATGATGCAAGCCTTAAGGTCATGGAGCCCTTTGAGTTTATTATGCCGGCACCCATCTCTGTGCCAGCTAAGGCCTAGCTCTCCTCCACCCCTGAAATTTAAAGCAAGTCAAGTTGGAGTCTCTTTGGAAAACATTACACAGCAAAGCTTCAGCAGCCTCAGAATTGTGAAACCATAGCTTCCCTTCCCAGTTAACTCTTCTCTATGCTTGTCTTTACCCGTCTTTGTGGATAAAACATTCAAGCAAAAAAATCTGTGCACGATGAATGGTGAAAATCCTAACTAACTGCACAGGCGTATTCCTTGCCTTTGTGTCCTGGAATTCACAGGAAAAGCATCACTTTAGGAAATGACACCCTCACTGTACGCAATACAAAATCAGACATTATCTTTTTCTACGGGAAGCTATTAAAGTATCTGAAATATTTTGAATACTTATATACTTTGAATACTTATATAACACCAGCATTTATTAAAACCAGTAAAATTGTATTTCTCAGCTCCACACTGAGGCCCTCAGGATTTGTCTTCTGTACAGCTTAAATTCTGAGAGTGTTAGAAAGTGGGGCTTTTTTTCTAGTTTGTGGATTTTAGATACTATTTGAAATGTTCTACTTTGTAATACAGGATTTAAAAATTTATTTCTATTTCTTTCTACACAACCACGATTTTAGTTCTAAACCACCTGAAGTCTCCTTATTCAGGTTTCAAGTTTAAAATTAACTGAGTAGTCTGCCAAATTTCTTCAACTTTGGATGAAGAATCCATCTTCATCTAGGCGTGACTTACATCTTAAGGTACTTAAAGGGGTGGGAGGAAGAACACCACAATGCTTGCCACCGACTATAGCAGACTGAATGTATTTGTATACTGAATTTGTTTTGGAACTGGTGTTTCTTCTCCTCCATAAAGCAATTGTTTTGCTCTCTTCTTTAGCTACTGAATTATTATCACAATGAAAATGTGAAGTAAGAATTACAGTGGTTACATAAAACTAGTAGGTTTGTACCTAAACTGGAGACAAGAGGATTTAGCCAGTAAAAGAAGTAGAAATGCCAGTTAAATGCTTAAGTAGTTGCTGTAGAAGGCAAATGGCTTTCAGAAGATGCAGACTGAACATCAGTACACAATACTCTTGGAAAGAGAGGGAGGTAGCGTGTCACTGCAATTTGAGTGTTACCAAAACTTTTCTTGAGCTAAGGTGAGACAAGAAGTAAGGAGGCGTCAAAAGACGAAAAGCTGCACACAGCAATCCTGTCGATTGCAGAAACCTACCTGCAGTATGTGGTCTTGAAAGTACTTTTTTTTTTTTTTTCCTGAGGTAAATTCACTTTTTTGTTAAAACTACTTTTAAAAAATTCTAAAATGAGATGGAAGTGAAAAGCATGAACAATTGGGTATAACTACATGAAAAAAAGTATTACTGTACCTCTTTAGTTGCATACCAAGAAATACCTGTATATCCCACAGATTAAAATCTGAATGCCATTTTCTATTTAACTTACCTAACATGGCAATATGCTAATATCCAGCCCTCCTCAATTAACATCAGCTTGTCTTCTTTAAAGCTCATGTTCAAATCTATGCCATAAGCTCCATATACATGAACTAGAAGTGGTTTCCTGTGTAGCTCTTTAGAATTCCTATTATGAAAAACTGTAATTGGCACCAAAGTTCCATCCTGGAAAAGAAGGAGTATTTTACAATAAAGGACATTGCAGAAATCTCAATGACACATAGCAATGAAAACTTCAATTATTTATTTTAAAATGTGTTTTTCTGATTACAGTAATTTTTTTCACTTATAATGTACAAAGCACTCTTGAAAAATAAAGCAAGAGACTGAACCTCTGCTGTGTAGGCTTATGGATGCAGAGTATAAAATTCATTTAAGTGCAACACCTGAGGAGTTTTTAAACTACCAAAGTACCCAAGTCTCCCTTCCCCTGTTAACACCAAGAATAGCTATTATTAACAAAATAGTTTACCACTTACTGCAGCACAAACTCTTTATTAACATCTCCAAATTTTTATGTTCAGGCTGTTAAAACTTTCCTTTCCTGACCTATGCTGTGCAGCTGGTTGTGGGGTGTTCTTTCCAACAGCTGGCACCCTTTTCATTTATCATGGAGAGCATGACACTGCGTATCAACTAGCAATTCTAAGTTATACCATACCAAGTTTATTGACTCATCATGTACCATTATCTCCTTTAGCATACCCAGGTTAATGAAAAAAAAATATCACGACTCTTTCTTGTTCTTCCCTGTAGCACTGGAGAAAACACCCACTGTTTAGTAACTATAGCACCAACTGCTCTTTACATTTTTTAATCTCTATTCCCTGCCAAATGCATTTTCTTTAAATGGGTGGGGAGGTAGGGAAGAATAAAAGGAATGAGAAAAGGACTGCAAAATTCTCACCTTGCTTTTAGCTAGTAAACGTGTAGTGTGACAATTCGTAATAATTGGTACCTCTTGCACAGCTGGTTCAATGAGATTATTTTCTTTAAATGAATATGCAAAACGCTTAGGGGGGTGTATCGGGGAGGTGAGCTGAAAATAGCAAGCGCTGGTGGTATGTTCAGGTCGAGATTCCAATTCAAATTCACAGGCCCACGTAGGTAGCTGAGAAAACATGGCATTTCAAGTGAGACCGACCCTTACACTGCTTCTGTAAATTTTGCCTAGCGTGTCCTTCAGAGAAAAAGATTCTGAGTATCTTCCGCTTGTCTGTAGCACAATGAGTATTTTTTTTAAGCTCAGTAATGAAACAGTCAAAAGCTGAAAGACATTGGCAAACTTTGTCCCTAAGGCCATGGGATAAAGCTGTACAATGAAATAGAAAAAAAAAGGGAAAATAAATCCAAGTTCAGTTTCAAATGGGCATTAGTGCAGGTTTTTATTAAAACATTCTTTGAAATGATTCTGCATGGTTTTTATTTTTTAGATCCTATTTCCCCTGATTTTTCAGTTCTACTTCAACATGTTATACAGCCAAGTCCATGTCAGTTGTTAAGCCTTTGCTGTGAGTTAGCTCAGTAATGCTAAGCCACTGAAAACCCCTGCCTCTTAACTTCGCTCCTAGTGCCAGCCATTGTTGAAGAACAAAACCTTTTCCTGGCACGTTCACCTTCAGACACTTACTGTTATTATATTTAAGATTTTTAACTCTGCTAAGAATAAAAGAAATCAAGATGCATTCTCTGAGAGCCGCAGGGACACAGTCAAACCCTCTGCCAGACTACTACTTACTTGGGTTGGGCTGCTAGTGACATCTGAAATGGCAGCAGAAGTCCAAGTTCTCCAGAGTAAGTGCAGACCCTTTCTTAATAAATAAACTACGACCATATTCAAAAATGAAGGTTTTAGACAGCATACAGTGCACTTTGTTGAAAACCTTTTTCTGTAGCAGTTCTATAGAATGCAGCATTGGTAGCTTGTCGCAATAAACTTGGGAGTAGTTCAGATTGTATTTTTCAGGCAAACAAATCAATCAAGTATTTCGCCTGAATGGCCTCCAGGAATCATGGGTTTGAATTGAGTCATTTTGGTTTTAATCCACAAGTATTTAGCAACAACTAGAGAAAGGAAGAAATACTTTGCACAAATTCTACTGCAACATCAACTCTTCCCACTCATTATAGGACAGTGTCCATACTTGTCTTCGGAATGTTCTGATGTTTCTTCTGTGGGAGGGCCAGGTTTATTTCCTTGCTTATGCTGATGAATGTAACCAAAAATAGGCCCAGTAAAACCAAGTGGAGTGTTTAGGGAATCAAGTCCTATTTTACATTAGAAATCAGCTGTATTGTAAAAAGCTTGACTGCAATAAGCTGAAGAAAAAACTGTATCATAGGATAGCTGCTCTCTAACTTTCTAAGTGCTGTAGTAAGCCGCCACATGAAAACCAGCCACATGTAATGTACAGTAGGCATAATACTTGGCAGTATTACAGTTTCCAAACAATTTCTACTCTTGGAATTTATCTTTGTCTTCATCATAATGTTAAAAAAAATATATATATAAAATAGTATTAAAACATACCTTTGTTGACTGAACTGAATGTGAAACAAAAGAAATCACATTTAAGTAAAGATGACCAGCATTCTTCAGGAATATAATACAGTGATCACTGAACATCTCCAAATCTACTAGCTTGGTTTTCTTTTCCAGTGCATAAACCAACTCCCAGTTCTCCTTGCCGCTGGCAGCTACAGCTGCCTTCATCAGCTAAAAACCAAGATGTAGGTAAGAGTTATGAATAAGATGTACAGACATTAAAGTGCACTCATACAACATCTTTATTGCAAAAATGTTTTAGTTCATATTGGGGGGGGGGGGGGGGGGGATGTTACCTGACTAAAACTGGAGGCTTTGAAACTCCCTTCACTTGGGCAAAATGGAAGAACAATTCAGTAACATTCAGAAAAGTTCAGTTCTCATAGATTAATCCGTAGGAAATTTTAATGCAGTAAGTGCTCTCAGCATGGCCAGAACTGTAGGTGGTTTGGCTATATAGACTGAGATAGCCAACTTAAATTTTAATATAGGAGAAATGACTGTTAAAGCATATTCATTTATTGATGTTGCCAAAGGAGTTAGAATCAAACTGGCATGCAGCAGGTAAGTCTCCATGTACTTCTATCAGTCTTTCAGTGTAATTCTCTAAAATTATTTCAATAACCTATGAAGTACAGAATTAAAAGCCAGCTTTACTATTTCTATATGATCTGCAACAGTTACCTGAATGAATCTTATTATCAGTTAAAACTACCTTATATTCTGCAGGTTCTCCATATGTAGTAAGAATATATAACTCGTCATCTCTGTGTTCAATGTGGTAAACGACTCCTTCTGTTCGTGCTTGTACAAGAGCAGGTGACTTAAAAGGATGTCTACAGTCAACCAGCCAAACTTCCGAGGTGGTCTTGCTGTTGCTGTTGATAGTGAGAAAACGCCTGTCTTTTGTGCAATATATGTCCACAAAAAACCTGTAAGGAATAATTATTTTTTAGAAAAAAAGCTTAAACTTGATTAGTATTATAAAAATAGATCAGTTGTTTCAGAATCATGGGCTTCCCTCTGCAAGGTGAAAAAGGCATGCCTGCAAAGGGGCTGAAGAAATTCCAGACTACCTGGTTCCCAAACCCACTCCTGCTGCATCAATCCTGGGATTCAAAACCCCACAAATATGACAAGCAAGCAGTTCAGTTGCTGCCCAACTGAATCCAAGTGTTTGCATTATAGAGATAAGATTGGAAGCTCATTGATGTATTTAGGCTTTAAAATTCAGGCACAACACAGAACTTTCTATTGAGCTTGTAACATCTTTTTTTTTAAAGTAGTAATGGATAATTAAATTCAAATTAATAAAAGATATTGTGGGAACAGCAATAACAAATAAGAGCTATTATAAACTGAGAAAAAGCCTCAGTGTTACTGCCCTAAATTTGTCTGAAGCAAGTAAGGCAAAAAGGACTATTTTTAAAAGAAGTACAGAGGCCTATATGAGACAAGACAGGCAAGTTGCACTGGTAAAGCTGGAAGCTAGGAACTGGGTTTGGAACTATGTAAGAAACTAGGAAGTATCTACTGATTTGAAATGCTTATAAAATCTAGAAACAGAAAACAGGATGATAACCAGAAACAGAAAACAGGATGATAATCAGTGGCTGGACGTTAATAGTACAAATTCAGGCTAAAAATTCACAATCAATTCCTTAGGAGTCATCCAAATTAACTGGAGCATCCCATCTTGAGACAGAGCAGTTTCTTTGCCATTTTGAATCTTTAAGACTGGATGTCCATAAAAGCAAAACTGTCCAACACAAAGATCCAGAACATTTCATCAAGAAATTGCAGGTTTGAGTACTGTAATCTGCATTAATACAGATCAGATACATGACTGCAATAATGATCCCTCTAGACTTCAAAATAAATTTGACTGGTGAAGGAAAGGATGCGATACACAGCATTTTCAGTGCCTTTAATTATTTGCAGGTGGAGGAACTCCAGTTTTTTTTTTGGTACTATTGTTTTTTCTAATTGTACCCTCCTGACATCTGAAAGAGGACAGGCACAGCAGGGGATCTAAAGTCTGCAAGGAATCAGCCTCCTGCCTCTCTAATACACATGAATTTGGCAAGAGTGCAGTACTGCATTCAGTAGAGATTCCAACAGTTCATCTCTGCTGACCTTACCTCTGAGAGAGTCAAACTGAAATGCAGGTTACACTTCTCCCCAAGGACTCTGACCTTGATATTACTTTATTTTTTTTTTGGTCTTTGTAGCTTTTCTCAAAGAAGTCAAGAAATCAAAAATGATTTGATTGCACCTAAAAGAGCTGGTCAGATGTAGAATGGAACTGCTCAGTGTCCATACAAAGGAATGTCTTGCCATCTCCAATGAACATGTAACTTCAGTTATGAGCTGCAGTAGCACATGAACCTTTAGAGTAAGTTTCTAGTAGATTTACTGTAATGACTGTGACCTTCAGAATTATGGCAACAGTTTCCCTGTGGGGAAGTGTCAGGTCAGTGCAATTTGATTTTCCAAAAGTATGCATCAACTGCCGCTGGAACAAAAGGATCTTATTTACTCCATCTCAACTGCAGATTTTTTATTTTCCTATTTTTTAGATGAAAATATAATAGCAATTCCTTTATTATGTAACTTGAATTAACAATAATCACAAACATTTATGGAATGTTGTATAAATCGACCACATGCTGCATAGTTGAAAAACTAGTTCTGCACTCAATTTAGCTAGAGCCTTCTTGTCTTCCTAAACCACTGCTTCAAGAAAGGTTATTGAGAGGGTATTCAGTCAACAATAGTTCTGTCTCTGGGAATGCTGTAATGATTTTGCTCATCCATTACCCAGAGCAAGGATTAGCCTGAACTTCTGTGTTTTTTTTTTTTTAAAAGACTTATCAGACATCAATAGCCGAGGAAACAAAATGAAATCCACAGTCTGATTTACCCTGTATGAAACTGTCACACATTCATTAAAGGACAACCTGACCTGAAGCTGACCTTGACATTTATAAACTCAGCTGAACTCATGAGGTAAGAGAGGAAAGTTAAATCTCCGCTGATCATGTATCAAGAGGAAAACAGAGCACGTTCTCAGACTACATATGGCAATACTGACAGCAGGACACAAGTTAAAAATGCCTTTTACCATTTGGAATATGATATGAAAGGCTATGTTTTCCAAACCAGTTATATTTTACATATAAGGTACTCTAGAATACATAAAGGACTTGTTATATTTTACATAAGTCTTACCTTGCATCTTGTTCTGTATAAACTAACTTAGTATGTTTCTGATTAGTGAAAGTGGTCATAAACACATTCTGGCATTTAAGGTTCTTCTGACTTGTGTAATACAGAACATCATTTGCAGCCCATTCTGGAAAAAAAGACAAATGCATATCAAATTTGGAACAGTATATACAATTAGTGAGAGAAAATGGAGCCCCATGAACACTACTGGACCCACTGTTAAAAAAGGTGGGCTGCAGCTGACATCTAATGGAGGACAGCACTTCTCTATCCCAGAGGCTGGGGTAAGCCACAAAAAGATTTTTCCATGTTTTCTCTGAATCCCACAGAACAAGAATCTCATTTGGAAAAATAAATAAATAAACACACAAAGGCAGAGGACCATGGTCCAGGGCCCAGGAAGAGGAAGCTCTTGACCCTGTGGGGGTTCTGGAGGTAACAGGAAAACAGAAGGTGTGGCTGTTTAAAACTGAGCAGAGGAACAAAGATTTACGTAGAGTCAGCAAGATAATAAAAGGAGTATGAGCTCTGAACCACTGCATGTGACTGCATGCAAACCATTTAGAGAAAAGAGATGATGCATGTGCCCCATGGGTACTGCTGAAATAAAAATTCTCCAGTTTTCTATGTGTGTACATGTGTTCACTAACATTAGAAATGTATAAATACAGGAACCTTGCTATTTAGTAATCTGACTGATCCAGCCAAATTATTGCTATCCCCGGTCCTAAAGTCACCAGAAGGATGTTTAATACATATGCTTTAAAAAGTTATTGTATGCTGTCTTATGCATAAATACTGATTTTCAATACAGAACTGGAGGAAGTACCACACTGAAGTAATGCAAACAATATGCTCTCTGAACAGCACTGTGGCTCCAAACTGCACAGGAAGCTGAAAGGTTCACTAAGAAGAGGGAAATTAAAGTTTTTCTATAGCCTAGCATTTAAAAATCATAGATGTAAATTTTCAAGCACTTTCATCTATCTGCCTGCTATTGTGTATCATGCAATACACAATACCGCAAATACAAATTCTCTTGCTTATGACTGAGGGACCTCTGTACTTCATGACACCTCTGTATCTCACACCTGAATGAATTGACAAAATGGGTGTAATCTCTACTATTCTGATAGTAATTTTTTCTACACTTATTACCTGCCATAAGCTGTCACACCTATGTAGGTAACAGGGAGTTGGTTTATGAATATACTGGTTCTTCTGGACAAACCTAGATAGATGTTCAAATCAAGTATAGTGAAAAACGTCACTGGCAAATCTGCAGGCCTGGTTTTTAACAGGCATTATAAATTTCAGTTGTGCAAACACAACATTAAACTCTTGTTAGTCATTTTTGTAGCTAGGAAGTTTTACCTAGATTTTTAAATTTTTGTCCTGCATTACTTACACTTAATGACATTTAATAATATAATCTAAAATACAAGATGTGGAACATTGTATGCACACTATTGCACTCTTTTCTATATTCTTTAACATTCTTCTTGTTCTAGCCCCCACAGGAGAGGGGCTAGAACAAGATAATCTTTAAGGTCCCTTCCAACCCCAAAAATTCTCTGATTCTATACTATAAGAAAGATTCTCATTTCACTTCAGTTTACCTCTGCTTATTTAAAAGCAATGTAAAGCTCTGTTATCTATTCTTAAAGAACTGACTTCATTGGGTGCTGAACTGTGACCCACATCCTAGGGTCCAGTTGAAATTCCAGCCAGTACTTAATCATAGGTACCATGCGCACGCTTTCAGTGAAGTCAAGTGCCTACAGCTATCATCAGTGATTGTAGTTGTAGCTGTAAGAATTTAAACTAGAACATTCCTCACAAGGATCTTTATAGTGTAAACAGTTATGTCAGTAGTTTTTAAAGAAGCGTATTGAATGAAATACCATTCTATGAAATTAAAAACCCCAGATATCATGACTGTTCAACATCTATAAATGCTTGCTTTTACAGCGAGGAAAAAACTGTATCATGAAAGCAGCCACTTCCATCTACATCAGGTAACTTAAAAATTTGCATTGTGGAAGAAACTGTAAATAAAAAAATTATACAGCTGTAATGATTAAATGGGAAAATGTTGCTTATTTCTTAAAAATATTTTATCATTATTTGTAGATTGACAAAAATGTTGTGTTGAAAGCTGCTGTGATCCACAGGGTATTCATAAACAACTTACCAAAACTAAATACACTTGGAATGACTTTTTCCACAACAGGAAAATGACCAAGTTTCATAACAACACAGGTTGCCTCTTCGGAGTTTTCACTTTTTAAGCTGATGGCCATGTATCTCTGATCTGGTGAAATTCTGATACGTTGAATAAAGGCATCAGAAAAGCCAAGATCTTCAGTACTGAATAAAATGTCACCCTTTTCTTCATCTACTACATTTAAAAATAGAGATAGCAAAGAAATCCTGTAATTAAGGCACTGTCAAAATTAACAGTGGTTATTAATGTCTGTTTTTAGAGCAAGTCTGTCAGCAGTGTTCACAAGCATATTACTGTAATTTATTAATACCAAATATTTGTCTGGCAAGATACTTAAAAATGCACTTTGTAAAAATAAACAAAAAAAAATACAGGGGGGGGGGGGGATAAAGTCTTGTAGTTATTATGTAAAATATTTCAAAAGCCTAGATCTTGGCTTCTAGGAAACATGTTAAATTTTAAAGTTCAAATACCTAAAGCACAGTTGTTTTTACTGAACACAATTAGTAAAATCTTTCCCCACTCCCTCAGCAAATAAAAAAAAGCATCAATGTGCTTTTCATGTTTTCAAAATGTTAATTTAGGGCTCTGAAAAAAAATTACTTCTCTCTTTCTCCTCCAGAAACTTGCCTTAGTATTAATATATACTATTCACTAACTGTTTTCACCTCACCTTTTTGGATTCGCTATTAATCAATCATGAAAGAATTTTGTAAAAGTAATTTTCTTTAGTTATTTAAGAAACACAGCAATTAACCTTTCATGTAAGAAAAGTACATTAAGTAATGCATACAATATTTTTAACAATTGTGCCATGTTAGGAAGAGAAATCCCTTACCATCACCTCCTTTTGAAAGAAATATACAGCCATTCTCTTCAAAGTACACGTTCTCTCCAAACCTGATCTGTTCAATATAAACCAAACATGTTTCAAGTCCAACATATATAGTTTGACTATTTCCTTAGAATCCCTATATTCAACACAATTGTAACTTACACAAATGACAAAATATAGGACATGTATTTGATAATACAGTAGGAATTGAATGCATCAGAAAGGTTCTTTCAAAGTTAGGGTACTTAAGCTACCTATACCTACTCTAAATTCAACAAAAGACTCACATCACCTGCAATTGCTCTTGTAAATGAAAATGTATTGTATTCTTTATCAGAAAGTCAGATGATTATTGTATCTTTACTTGCTTTGGCTTACGGAGAAATTAAGGTAACTACACTACCACGTTCTAAACACATGCTGTTACTATCCACAAATATTAAAACATTCAAACCTCAAAACTACAAAAAATAATCAGTAAACCAGCATTTCATAGCAGGAATGGCTTCACTGCCTTTTATTTGTACTCAGTTACAAGTTTCTATTTTTTGCCACTTACCCTTGGACTTTCCAGATTGAACGTATACTTATTGTGCAACTCTTCTAATTTTTCCTTGATTCTCTTTGTCATAGCTTTGTATCTTGCTGAAATGTCATTCCAGTTTTCCTGCTCTGATTTCAGAAGATCCTTGTATGAAAGGTCTGATGTTGTTATGGATGCGTTTTGCTTCCTTTTGGAAGGGATTTTTGTTCCTTCCTGCTAATAAGGAAACAAAACAACAGCTACAAGCCAGTGCTCTGTACTCCAACATGAATATACTGAAGCAACAATAGTATTTCCTGAGCTATAGACCCAAAACCAACTTTGCATTATTATAATAGTATGTGCCATTAAAAACCACAGTTGGAGTGAGTCAAATAAGATCTTCCTGATCTTTTAGTGTTTGAGGCCAGGCTGAATGGGGACCTTGAGCAACCTGGTCTAGGGGAAGCTGTGTCCATGGCAGGGGGGTTAGAACTAGATGATATTTAAAGTCTCTTGCAAACCACTCTGTGATTGTCAAAAGTGATTTACTTGACATATTTACTGAGGTATTCTCTTCAAAATTCAGGCTACTACCAACGTATGATCTGAGTTGATTATATGTAAATATGTTTGTTCTTATTCTAAAACTAGGTTTTAGTTGATTTTTTGTGGAATTCTATTATTTTTCCTTCTTCAGAGCTGTTTTCTCATAGTCCTTCTGTCACAAAGAGCATCATTTTCTTTCCTAGACAACAATGCAACCCACACCTCTGTCCCTGTACCTAGGAGTCCTGGCAGCTTGTTCAGGTTCTTGCTCCACCTCCCCAGAAGTGTTAGCATAAATGTTCACAGGGTGCAGGAAGAAGCAATGAAATTATATGGGTTCTGCAACAATTTTATCAGGAATGAGCTTAAGGATCTGGTTTTCCACAATCCATGAAGACAACACTGTCTTCTCTTATAAAATGTTAAAAATTCATTAAAATTGATAGAGCAATGTTACTTTTGCTTGCTGTAAAACCTCATTTGTTCAAATAATAAGCTTAACAACATATATTACAGCACATAACACTGCACAGATCACAAAAAGCAGCATTTTATAACATTCAAGGTATTATGTGAATGTGCCTAAACTTAAAAAGTAGGACGTACTTTCACCCCATCCTCACTTTGCACCAAGAACCATTGGTTTGTTCCTGATTTGTCTTCACAGAGGCATGAGATCTAAAACACCAATGTTATGAGTACACTTTGAAAGGAGGAGAAACTACCTGCTCCAGTTACCATACTCCCTATGAATGTAAACCACACTGTTCATAAGAATGGTTCAGACCAATGGTCCCTCTAGCCTTAAAATCACCAAATCCGAAGCACAACTCAAGGAAAACATGAAAGCCCTTAGAGAAGCTCTAGCACAGCTGTGTAATTCATCAAGGTACAGGAACTGCAGTATGTGTTAGTTGTAACATCCTCTCCCCAGTCACTGGAAAAATTGCTGTAAGTCTACACCACTCCTCAAAACAGAAGCAACTAAACAAAAAACCCACAGTGGCCATGAATTGATATTTAGGAAAGCTTAAGAATGTGACAAGCCCAGATGATATTCCCCAACAGGTATTCCCCCAGCCTTCAATGATTTTAGCTCAAGAACTTCCTAAACTGAATGAGGTTTCTGGATATTTAATCTGGAAAGATTCTGAGGACAGCAAAGTATCTCAGTGACAATGTTTGAAAACATTTGCTCCAAAACTAACAGGCACAGCTTCCTTTCAGGTGAAAAAACCCCTACCTTTTTGTACCATGGAACCAGTGTCATAGTTCAGTACTTGTAACTGTATTAGTGAACTGCCAAGGAATAAACAGAACCACACATTCTCATCCATCAAGGCTTCCTATGTGCTCCTCGAAACATTTGGTTCCATTTTAGACACAGACTTAGGAACTGTTTACATTATGATTAGAAATAAGAGGGTTACAACAAGATGATCTTTAGGTCACGTCTGCAGAAACACTGTCAACTTGAAACAATTTTATAACAACCATGCATCCATCTGAAAAAGTTTAAGAGAAACGAAAACACCAATCTTTTTAAACAGTACTTATGCATTACGCATATAAATTGGTTTACAGGCTGGGATACTGCAGTAAACTTTGAGAACACATTCAGCACACTCTGTATTAGAAACACAAGAAGGCCTGAAATGATTTCATTCCATTTTCTAACTGTGCACGATACATTGCCCCCCATGTACACAGTATTTACATTCAGAAATAAATCCAAGTACCTTTAAAAGTATCATTTATCACATGTAAATAGATTATGAGAAGTCAATAGCGTATTTTAATATTTAACATGGTGCAAACCATGACTTACTGGTCAGCACGGCAAAAGTCCAGGGTTTTTGAGCGAGCTCACAATGGTCTATGTCTGGTGTCATCAGTTTGGATGCTTTGCCTCCATCCTAGGTTACTTCTCCCCGCAGCTACCTCCTGACACTATATCTGAATCCTTCTGGAATATGCCAATTTTTAAAAAATCACTACAGCAGGAAATTCAACCAAAATGCAGCTTTCCATCAAAACAGTACAGGCCAGTTGAATAACTGTACAGAGCTTTGAACGTAACTGAAATCTTAATACTTATCCCCCTGCTCCAAATTCTTTGGGAAAAATGTGTTTCCTCTACATTTGGAAAATATGAGAGGCTTCCTGCGCAGATGTGCCAAGGTGGTTGTTGACCTTAAATCCATACTTAATCAGCGTACCTTGCAGGAAAAGCATCTCCACGGCAGGATGCTTCCAGGTGGCAGAGTCCTGTGCGTGCATGTACTTCCTGAACAATTCAGGATGCAGCATTGTTTTGGTTTTATCTTACTATAAATACATACTGCTTGAAGACAGCTATGCTTAGAGTAGTATCTGACACTGCAGCTCAGCCCTTGGAGAAGATTTCGCAGTCCAACACATGATGTCCTAACCTTCATTTCTTGATAGCCTGAAATTCCCAAACATCGTAAATTGCTGATCATTTGCAATATGTGAAATATACATTACCGTAAACTGCAGGTAAAACTGCCTCTCTTTGAAAGCAGTGAAACTGATTCATTAGGTGTATCAGTTGAGAAGAAACAGTTAGATCTTAGTTTCTTAACAAGGGGTACACAGTTTAGCCTGCAGTGTTACTGCAAAACGTGGTTCCTGGCACTTTAACTCCAGTGAAGCTATCAATGAGAGAAGGGAAGGTGCAAATGTTTTACGTTTAGATGTTGAAGAACCAAAGCCAGGTAAGGTTTGGGGAGTTTTCCTGGAAGTTGTCCCCCCTTATAACTATCATACAACAATAAAATCACTTTATCTCAAGAAGTAACTTGACAGCAAGAGCTGACCTCCCTTCGCAGGGACGCTCACAGCTCTGCAGACCCTCCACGTTCACCGCCCGCGGTCCTGTTCCCCGTCCCGCTCCCCACCAGCCCTTCCCACCGCCCCTCACCGCCGCGGCGGGGCCGGACCGCGCTCTCTCCGGCGGCTCGGCTCACGGTAAGATGGAAGGCGACAGGAGCAGCGCCCGGCTGCCTCGCGGGACTGCCCGTAGCCAAGACGGCGGCGGAGGCTTCAGTCAGCCGCACCCCGGGAGGGCTAGCACGGTCCCTGGCGGGGCTTCCTCAAGTCACTCCCGTTACAGATACTGTTTCGTCCCCTGGCCCTGAGGCCACAGGCGGCCAACGCTGAGGCGCGCTCCTGCCCCTCCGGGGCGCCTAAAAAGCCGGGCGTATCGCGGCGGCACGTCTTGCCAGCGCTGCCCTTAACAAAGATGGCCACCCACTTCCTTCCCCTGCATCCCTAGCCCGGCCGGCCCTGGCAGCTGCTGGAGTCTCAGCGGCAAGTCCCCGCTGGGCAATGCAGAGCGAAAAGGGGGTCTGAGCCCTCCTGCCGCCGCATGGCCGAGCCTGCCGGCTCTCCGAGCCGCCCCGCCGCGGGCCGGTGCGAGGTGAGCGGCGCGGGAGCGGCGAGAGCCCGCTGGCGGCTGCTCGGGCAGGTAGGGGGAGCCCGCGGATCCCGGTAGGGGATGGCGGGTGGCGCTGCGTCGCTTTGGGCCAGGGACCGTTCGTGTTCCCACCCGTTCGTTTCTCCGCGCTGGGCGGTCGTGGCTTGGAGCGCTCGAAGGGCCGGGCTCTGCCCCGGGCTGGGGAGGCGGTGCCGGGGAGCGATACGGAATGCTACCAGCAGTGGAAGCGTGTGGAAAGCTGAGGAGAGCTGCCTGCACCTCTGACAGGAGGGTAGCGAGGAGTAGCGAGCTGGGGCTTGCAGAAGAGCTTACAGTACGCTTCTTGCTATAATAGTAATAAGAATAAAACGTATAAATGTATATACACGCACACGGCTTTCTAAAGTGTGCTTTAAACAAGCAGCAAGTGGGTACACCTGTGCTGGAGGGCAGCAGTAGCTTGTTGGCCTTGCTTTTCTGGGTCCTTTAGGAGTGGTGCGAGGTTGGAAAGGATTTCTCTTCAGATGAGTGTGTGCATAAAGGCTTAAAAACTATGAGGTTAGTGAGGCTCTGGCACAGGGTGTACAGAGAGGCTGTGGCTGCCCCATCCCTGGCAGTATTCAAGGCCAGGTTGCATGGTGCTTGAAGCAACCTGGTTTAGTGGAAGGTGTCCCTGCGTGTGGCACTGGCTTTTGGAATTGGATCTTTAAGATCTCTTCCAAACCAAACCAGTCTGGGATTCTATGGAAAACCTGAACCAGTTTCATTAGTTGTTGCTGCTACTGGATGTGGTATTTATGGTCCTAACTTAACACGTTCAGCTTTGTTTAAGTGGAAGCCTGGAACTGCCCATGGGAGCTCCCCTCATGAAGGCAGAGCCGTAGCAGGGTGGCAAATGGCGGCCACTGGCCTCAGAGGAGCAATGGCTGCAGCCAGATAACCGTGTGGGAGGCATGAGGAGGTTAATACTGCACTTCTCTTTGTGTGTGCTTTTGGTTCGTAAACTCCCTTGCCAAACTTCTTGTTTATTATACTTTAACGCACGAAATGTCAAAGTTCCTGGTAGGAGTAAAAGGTTTGGTTTTGTAGGTTTCCGTTCTAGCAGACTATGTAAGCTGCCTGCTGCGGCTATGCTATCTGTTAATGCCTTTTGAGCATACTGCCTTTGGCATTACCCTCTCTCTTAAAATCATAAGGAACTTTTCATGACAATAGAATGGATGTGTAGGTGTGTGGGGAGAAGGCTTCCATTTCTTCCTCAAAATACATGTATCTGTGGCCTTTTCCTCTGCAGATTCCCTGGGGTTTTCCATGTTCTTTAGCTTTTCTGTTGATTTTTGTATGGTATGATGAGCAAGGATAAATTTAATCTTACTGGTGCATCTGAAGTAAAAAATCAGTGCTGCACTCTTTACTGCAGTGATGCTCAGATCTATCTATGGTTTGGAGAAAGGTATCAACCTTCCTTTATACCCATCTTTAAAGGAGCACCGTCAAAGTGTTTCTTACAGTGCTTTTAAAAATGCTTTTCATACTGCTGATAATAACACCTTACGTGAAACCAGTTCCATGGTGTGTTTATATATTGAATTTGCTTTCATTCAGTGCGTACACAAATTGATTCGCCATGGTGAGGATGCCTGAATGTGTGCTCTCTGATTTAATTAAGAAAAAAGGCCTTTTTGTCAGGTATCCTGTGAAGCTAGCATAAAGAACCAGAGGTTTGCATAATTACCTATGAGTTCTTTATCAATAAAATGTTTTATGTATGTATGGAGTTTAAAGTTTGACAATAGTTTTAAGCTTAGTTTGTCAGAATCAAAATGATTTTGCATTAAAAAACTCCAGTACTAAGTTAAGTTACATGTGTAGTGTGCACTTATAAATTACTGGAATAAGTTCTCGAAGGCTTTTTGAGCCCTCCAAGTCTATGCAACTGATGGCATTATCCAGCCAGTAGTTTTTGGCAGAGAAGTTAGAGGAATGGGCATAAGTTAAATTGCTCTCTGTCTATAATTTGCTCCGTAGAGAAAGTTGTATGAAAACTTTGGGGAAATCTGTAAACTTACATATTTATCCTGCCTGTTACCTTCCTCTTGCTCACACAAGTCTTGCTCACCTGCTGATGTTCACCAAATGTTTTCAGTTCACCAGAAATGAAAGCTAAAGTGAGGGCAGGGCAGAACAGAGAAACTTCTAAAATCATTTTTGTTCTCTTCCCACTCCTTTCTCTGTGATGGGTGCCCGTGCTCCAGATCTTTTTCCATGTTTTTGTTAGTCTTGAGTTTGTAAATTGTTTCAATTTGTGTAAAACTATTTGGTAAATAAGCTGTTTGTAAAAATAAATACTGCACAGTCCTACTGATGATGTTTATAGAGATGGTTTGACCGATCATATAGAAACTTTCTTGCCTGTACAGCATCCCACATTACAGTCAGTGCCATGGAACTGGACAGAGGTTTGTAGACCATCAGCTGTTACTGAATTTGGCTTTCGAAGCAACTAGGCTGTGTACAACGAGATACACAAATAAATACAGGGGAATTCAAGTGATTGCCATCCTCCGTGTGGTTTGTTGTTCTGTTTGATTGTTTTAATAGAAATCAATTAGGTTTTATAGGGAGTACAAAAAAATGGGCCTAATATTGCGATTAAATGCTCGAGGTCCTGCGGTTTTGATCTGTGGTAATATGTTACTGAAATCTTTCTAAAACGGAGACAGTTTCATGATACTTGTTTTTTTAATGTTCTCTGTGTTAGTGAAGAAAGATTTGTTTTAGAATTCTATATTGCTAGGTGAAGTTAGAAAGGAAAGAAAATACAAATTGGAGAGGGAAAACTGCAAGGCTAACAGTGTGAGTTTGCATGGGTTTTTTTAGTTGTTCTTGGTGTTTTTTTTCTAATTTTTGGAGCCTAATTTTTTGAAGAGAATTCTGTAATCTATACGAGAGTTCTGTAATCTGTCATTACAGAACCAAAACATTATTTACTTAGGTAACATTTGTATGTATGACCCGTGTACAAGCTCAACACTGTTAGGGTGGTGAGGCACTGGAATGGGTTGCCCAGGGAAGTTGTGAATGCTCCATCCCTGGCCGTGTTCAAGGCCAGGTTGGTGACATAGTTTAGTGTGAGGTGTCCCTGCCCATGACAAGGGGGTTGGAACTAGATGATCTTAAGGTCCTTTCCAACCCTAACTGTTCTATGATTCTGACACTTGTGTACACCTGTAAAGGTCTTGTGCCGAAGACAGGGCCTTTCCGTACCAAAAGATCTTGGAAAGAGTGAAACAAGGCTTCTGGAATTTTTTAAAAGAAAAGTATATGGAGAAACATAGCTGAAAGTTACTGAGGGAGGAGATAGGGGCCACAAGTACCAACCAAAGAACAGTGTCTGGTAATTTCTTCTCCATCACAGTTCCTTCTCTGTGCCATCACTAAAACCAAGAACTGTGTCTAGCCTGCTGAAAAGTCTTTAGCCTGCTCTAATACTGGCTACTGGTTTTATAAATCTCTAAGATGTGTTCCTTTATAGTGGCAGCGTGCAGGATGTTAGGGAGCTTCACCTTCATTGGAAGAGCATCATCATTTCTTCAAAACATTATTATCAGTTTAGATAGGTTTGTCACCTGTTATTTTTCATCAGTGGATTATACTGTAGCAGGGGCATGTCTTTATAGCTTGTAACACAAGGGTGATGCTTTTAGGAACTGACTGTAGTTAAAAAACCACTTTAATCCTTATGTAAATACACAGAGTTAGATATAAATAATGAAACATATTGTTCCTTTGTGCTGCTTTTTCTCAGTTATACACAGGTTTTTAAAAGATCCAACCTACTGTTGTAATTTTCAGATCTTAGACTACCCAATTTTAATTTGAGGGTATGGGAGAAATGAGCTCTCAAATGCTCATCAGGTTTTCTGCTAAGCCAGAGAGTTAATTTTGCAGAGTTGCTAGATGTCTCTGTAGAACAAAAAACTGAAAACAGAAAAGCGTTGTTATCCCCCTCCCCTGTGGTTTGTCTTTGCTTTAAAAAAGCCCCAAACGACACGCTTTACTGAAAATTATGCCTTGGTAGTTTGCTTTAGTTGTCAAAACGGTCTGTTTTGTTTCCAGACATGCCACTATTGTGTGAGGATCTTCAGTCTGCTCCTCAAGTTCTCCTGTTTTGGTATTTTAGTAATTTCCCTCGTGTGTGTTTTTCTTATGTGTTACAGAAGTAGAAGAAATAGTGTGGACAGCACACAGGCATTTTTAATGCTTTGATGAAAATGCCTATGCCTTTCGTATGCTGAACAGATGAAAATAGATCCAAGAGCAGTAAGCCTGACGCATCAGACCTGCTGTTAGAAACTAACAGCATAGCAAATACAGTTGCTCTGCTCACATATCTAATATTTCTGAGTATCCTGCAAAATAGTAGGTTGTGGTACCAAATTGTAAGGCTGTTAAATGTGACTGCATTTCCAGTTAAAGCATGTTGACAAAGGTTGGGTGCAGCCAAAAAAATCACTGTCCTGTTATTTTGCTGTATGCATCCTGTATGCAAAGCTTCTGTTTCATAATTCTGGAGAGCTGTTTCTCATTAGACTTCAGATTGATCTCTGGTTGGCAAAACCCTGTAAACTGCGGCACTGGCCTACTCAGTGGAGCTGTTCCTTGTAGCTATTTATAGGGATGAGTTTATTTTCTGCTCTTTTTTTTCCTCATTGTGGACTGCATAGGCATCTTGCTTATAAAAAGGCAATGGTAATCATTTATGTATTCTGTCCAGTGTTAGGAGAAACAAGT